ACTAATATGTATTAGAACATAGCTAGCAGAGTCGCGCAATTAAATTCATTATACGTGAGCGTGCTCAAAATCCCGATAGTGCACGCTGATAGCGTCAGCAAATCCGACTTCGCCAGAACTTTTTTTTTCGCGCGAGCGGCCATTGTTAGCGCGGGGAAAAATAATATATTTCGCGACAATAATGGATACAAACAGAAACTCGGCCTACTAGTCCGAAAACGAAGACAATGTTTCGACCTTTTCCCTTGGGCTAGAGCTCTTAAATGAGGCAGAAAGAGAGAAAAACAAAGGAAAAGGAGACTCGGAAACAGCGCCGTCACGATTCGCTTCAACTGATATTGTTGTCCGTTTTTCGCGTCGGATTTGATGCACAATTCCACCGGCTATGTTCTAAAACAATTGGTTCATGCTTTCAGCTGTGCACTATCGAGTTATGGAGCACGCGGGAAGTTTGGAGAGCACGAAAGAAGCGTAAGAGTTGCCCGAGGCGATAGCCGAGGGAAACTCTAGCTTCTTGAGTGCTCTCCAAACTTCCCACGTGCTCCATAACTCGATAGTGCACAGCTGAAAGCATGAACCAATTGTTTTAGAACATAGCCGGTGGAATTGTGCATCAAATCCGACGCGAAAAACGGACAACAATATCAGTTGAAGCGAATCGTGACGGCGCTGTTTCCGAGTCTCCTTTTCCTTTGTTTTTCTCTCTTTCTGCCTCATTTAAGAGCTCTAGCCCAAGGGAAAAGGTCGAAACATTGTCTTCGTTTTCGGACTAGTAGGCCGAGTTTCTGTTTCTATCCATTATTGTCGCGAAATATATTATTTTTCCCCGCGCTAACAATGGCCGCTCGCGCGAAAAAAACAGTTCTGGCGAAGTCGGATTTGCTGACGCTATCAGTGTGCACTATCGGGATTTTGAGCACGCTCACGTATAATGAATTTAATTGCGCGACTCTGCTAGCTATGTTCTAATGCGCATTTGAGCATATCCACATGGAATTTACGCACTACAAATGCTGTATTATTATTATTATTATTATTATTATTATTATTATTATTAGTCAGATGGGAGAATTCCTGACAAGATTTTGCGAGTCAAAAGATGCGAGAGGATCTACTTACCAGGGCTTCATCAGCTTTGATGTCAAAGTCTGGAGCAGTTCCATCATTGGCAAGAGTGTACAGAGCCGTGGCTACAGCCGATGAGATGTTGGAAAGTTTCTGTGGAGAAAGAATAAGATTCCGCTACCGCACAGTTGAACTCCTACCTCTACAAGCCCCCCTGGTCCGTCTGAGGCTGTTAAGTCCCCCTCACCCAGAAACAAACCCCTCAAATAAACATACAAAGCTAAGTAATAATGTTGGGAAAATGCAATGAATAATGGCAACTCCCGCCTCTAAAGGCAGAAGGGAGGGTGCGACATGTCGACGGCTGGTGTTTTAACGACACCTCATACGTGCAAGGATGAATTTAATATTGAGGCGCCTCCCTTTTCCAGCACACCTGTTCGCCTAACCAGCCCTGCTGACTTTTCAAAGTGAAGAAGAGTTGTGCAGTACCCAGTCCCTTCTCTCGCCTGTCAACAATGAGAGTCCCCAGGAGCACAGCCTGCCATGTGTAAGACAGCCCTTACAGATGCAGGAGTGACTTTCACTCATCCGCCTTTCCAGCCATTAGGAACAGAAACGTTCCTAAGCCTGGGGTGAACCATTTGAGACACCTCGCTCTCACAGTCGTTCTCGAGTACCTTTGTGAATTCTGTGATGAGGTAAACTGTATCATTATCCTTGGATACATTCCCTCCAACTTGGTAAAGATCGTCAAAATGACTGTTGTAGAACCTGAAAGACAAAAGACAAAGTTGTTCAAAATTCATTACATATATCTTATTAACCAAGCGCGAGGGCCGTACTGGGAGAATATCAACCCGAGGTCTTGACAGTACGGACCGAGCGCAGCGAGGTCCGTACAAAAAAGACCGAGGGCCGATATTCTTCCAGTATGGTCCCTAGCAAGCTTGGTTAATAAGAGATTTATTATACGACTGAAGTTCAAAGGGACACAAGTGCGGTATCATTCGGGACCATTTGGGACAGTGCCCGGTCCAATACTTACAGAATATTGGACCGGCAATAGAGCATTTTGATTGGTTGATTTTAGTTATTGGCCCTCTGACTGCCCGAGTCGTGTAATAAATCGGTTTAATGTTTAAATTGTCCGCTGGTACAGCACCTCAACTTCTTAAGGATCCCCTAGTCCTCTAGGAGACTAGAATGTCTAACCATTTGCAAATGTCACAGCACAGGCAAGTCATTCTCTTCAGTTATTCTACAACCCTGAGAGAAGGTTTAGTCTGGGGAATTTAGTAGAAAAAAATAAATTGTTGCGATCATTACACAAATGAATCACTACAGAGAAATTCAAACAAGACAAACAATGGAGGAATGTACAAGTTTAAAGTAGAATTGACCCTTGAATCCTTCTGAGTGACCAGTATTTAAGTTCTCCTTACAATATTACAGCTTAATCAAACATTAAGGTCACAAGAAGGAAGGAAATGATCACCGCCTAAAGAGGCTCTTGATTGATTGACAAATTCTCCTCGTCAGCACCATAGGAAATGTAAAGAAATCAATTCGCAAAGCTTTATTCGCAGCTCTAGAAGGTGAGGAAGATTATATTGAAGCACCTAATTTACTATCCAAAATTAATTTCTATTTAACATAACTTTTTGCAACTATTCATTGTTAATGCCTTCGCCTGTTTAGTTTAGTTTGTTTAGTTTATAAAGCTACCTATTACACTAATCAATTCTGTAACCAATCCCTGGATGCAAATTACTCTACTGATGTCATTTGGTTTATCCCTATTTCTGTTCATAGTCTTTTATTTGAAGCTTACAAATTGACTTATTCTCTTCTTTTTTTTCTTATTTCTCCCTGCACAACTCGCCTGGACTAGCATACGCAAAATGCGAGTTGTTCATGTTATTCTTTTAATTGTAAAAACATTAATAAAGTTTGTTGTTGTTGTTGTTGGTTAGGGTGGAAAAGCTTACAGAGAGAAAAACAAAGAGAATAGAAGATTGTCACTGTTTCTCACTTGTTGGAATAACTCCCCTCATGGTCTGTTAACACAATCCCAGGTATTGAGCTGTTCTTTTTTAAGAACATCTGGAAAGATGACGGAGGCAGCGGTTTGTCTATAGGTTCCCCGATCTCCAAGTCATGTTTTTCCCCTGCACTTTTAAGAGCTTCCACAATCTTGCTAACCTATTAAGTGGAAAAAAGTGTATTGTAATCAATGATTTGGTGATGAAGGACGACATTTTAGTCCTTCATGGCAGGATTGGTACAAGGTAACTCTTTTGCTTTCAGGGTTGATTAACGCGTTACTTCTTCCAAAAAATTTCCATACAATGCCCAGCAGACAAAAACTGAGAATTTACAAACTGATCAGTTATTCGGTTTCACCTTGAAAGAACACCATGTTTCTTTAGCCCTTCACTGCCATGAGTGACCAAGACAGAATTTCTCCTTACAATATTAATACAACATCAAGAAGACAAGTGATGAGAATAAAGAAAAATATCAATATTTAGTTCTTATTAACCCAGCGGGAGGTCTGTATGGGAGAATCTTGACCGAGGTCGCCAGTACAGACTGAACACAGTGAGGTCTGTACCAGTGACCGAGGTCAAGATTTTCCCATACTGACCGACCTAGCTCGGTTAATAAGATGTTTATTATATGGCTGTGTCTTATATGCCAATTTTTATATTCTTTGTAACTTCTTTTTCTAGACCAGTCTAGATGCGGCCCGTTAACTATAGTGAAATCAAAATCTATATACTTAACAAAAAAAAAACCCTCGAGAAATAAAAAAGATAAGCTATTTCGGGTATCCAAATCTAAAATAGTCATTATAAATTCTTTAAAAACCTATTACTTATTTCGGTTATGAAAGAGTTAATCGGCAGTGACGATCACTTCCTAAGTTTCTAATAATTCACAGAATTTTTGAAGGCAAAGAGTTAAATAGAACGCGATATTCATTGTTCATCTTGCAACTTTAAATGTCCGAGAGATATTTAGTGTTCCCGAGATCACAGCCTTCTGCATAAATTGAAGAACTCCCTTACTCTTGTTTCCGACCAACTCCTTCATTCGGCTTCTAAGTCACGACACCATCCCCCTAATGTGTCCATTATATATATCTTATTAACCAAGCGCGAGGGCCGTACTGGGAGAATATCGGCCCGAGGTCTTGACAGTACGGACCGAGCGCAGCGAGGTCCGTACAAAAAAGACCGAGGGCCGATATTCTTCCAGTACGGTCCCGAGCAAGCTTGGTTAATAAGAGATTTATTATACAACTGAAGTTCAAAGGGACACAAGTGCGGTATCATTCGGGACCATTCGGGACAGTGCCCGGTCCAATACTGAGAGAATATTGACCGGCAATAGAGCATTTTGATTGGTTGATTTTAGTTATTGGCCTTCTGACTGCCCAAGTCTTGTAATAAAACATCTTATGGGATCTTGGGAATGAAGGTAGAAAAACATTCACTATTCACAGCACTCCAAGCTGGCATCACTTTGGTTACCATGGTAAATAGATAAATTTTGAGCTTTCTTTTCTTACTTTCCAGACAAGGAATGAAGCATCCTCTCTGTTTTCACTGCTATTGGTAGCAGGTGAAATTATGGACTTGTTTAATGAGAAGGATTGATCTCATCCCCCTTTTTTGTCTGATGAAAAATTGACGAGATTATTATGACAAGCTAGTTGTCCATAAACTTTTCATATAAGTACCTTTTTATTGGTTTCATTGTGTTTAGTGGAAAGTGGATCAGAATGTGCCCACAACTTGCCATTTGAGAGTCCTAGTTGATTGAGCTCCAAGAAATATTTGATATCCCCAGTATTCAAAGTAAGCTTTTCCCCATCAACCTTGAACAAACAAAAATGCATTTAAAAAAAAATTGCATTTTAAAATTTATTTAAATCTACTACATGTACAAACTGTGATCACTCAGTTTCACTCTTGCATAGTAAGAGATAAAAATGCTTGATTTCCTCATTCTGTGATTTTAGTCATCACAAAATGAGGAAATCACTATTGTCGATTAATGTTTTCAGTGCAACAATTTTGTGACAGACTTTGAGTTTTAGCCATAAAGTTAAAGGAGCTTGAGTGCCATGCCATAGGAGTACATACATTTTTGTTGTTTTCTCTCTACAATTATTTCAAACAAGTATGATTTGTGCTGCCCTTTGTTCAAAGGAAAATCCCATTTTACTCCCAGAAATGATTAACATGTAACTTCTCCCCAAGATACTACATATCATTATCCAACTGCACAATGTAGAGTACAAATAACATCTGCATCAACTACAAATGTCACATAATATTTGTACTCCAGAGAACCGTAAAGAAATATCTGCTAAATTCGCCCACACTGAAATAACAATTTGGCGCATTGGATAATAGTCTCTTAATAAACATTTTGCTTTGTAGTATCGCTGAGTATTTTTTACTTGTTGTTTATAATTTGAATTCCCCCTACGGGCTCCTCAAAATACAGCACAACTTGTAAAAATACTCAGTGATACTACACAACAAAATGTTTAATAAGATTTAACTATTCACCAAACAGGTTGTGAGGATACTCAAACTTATCAGGTAAAAGTTGTTATCGTGATGTAACACTAAATTCCTACTTTACAAAGAAATGTGTGACAGCTAGAAGGGAGAATTCAAGTTCAGATCTCAGGAGTTACTAGGTTAAAGGGATCCCTCCACTGTTTTTGAAAATCCCTTAAAATGCTCTTTAAGTGTCCAAAAGTAGATTTTTCGGACAGAAAAAATGTTCTCTCCCCTTAGATTTTTTGTTTTGGCCTCTCAAAAGAAGCCTTCATGACCAGTTTGAACGTCCCGCGATTGCCATTTTGATCGGTGCGCGAGGCTCTCTGGGGTGATGACGCAAAATGGTTGCTCGATTCCCTTGCCCTCTGTAAAATTGGTAGCAAAATGCTGCATTGCGTTGTTTTTGAGTGTAGTATTCAAGCTAAAAACAGGAAAAACGATCCCAAAATTTGTTTCCACAATTTTCCAAATGATGCAGCAATTAGAACAGAACAGCCTAGTTTGAAATCATTTGAATATATCAACAAAGTTGAAGTGGTA